AGTCTGTAGTCATTCTAGAACTAAAAAAGCATAATTTATGTTTCATAATCTTTTATGGTGGTTACAAGATCAGTCAAATCAACCAAACCCATACAGAGACACAATAGTAAAAATAACAGATAAAATATAAAGTTTTTTAAAAAAAAAACATTTGATAATTATCTGAAAGTTATAAAGATTTTGTATGAGGAATTTTCTTATGCATAAAAGAATTTTTAAGCTTAAAATCAAAATTACTTTGCATTTTGGATAGTCAACACTCGAAGTCAAAAAAGGCATGAGAAAAACATTACTTAAAATATTAAAACTTAATAAAACGAAATATGATATTTTGCATACGAAAACATAGTAATGATTACTGATAATATGCAAAATTTCATGAAGATATGCTTACTGATTTAAAAGTTATAGCATGAAAACTATAACAAGCACAAAATCGTTACGAGGTCAGTCCCTGGGACCAAGCCCGTGCTGAAGGAGTTAAAAAGCTTAAGTACAGGGTATAACAGGAAAATAAACAGTATTAAATAAACAATAAATATTGCAGTTGGAACCTCATTGTGTTTAGAACTTGTTTATAAATATAACTTTTCTATATCTATTGAATCATTACATTAAAATAAACCAAGCAAACAAGTAAAGAAAAAAACTTTTCAAAAAAAGGAAGTAAATGTAGGGATGGCTAATATCAATCCTTCAAAAACAATACAAACAAGATAGTAAGGACGGCACTTGCATGATCCCTACATAATAGTATAGGCAAAAATTAACATACAGCAATATATATATATATATATATATATATATATATATACATATACTTATTCAATCACAATTAGTTTAATTTATCCTATTTTTGTCTGTTAACATTTTACTACACTGTGTGCCTGTGCTATTACATAGGGATGATGCAAATGCTATCCCTACATTTACTTCCTTTTTTGATAAGTTTTCTTTGCTTTTAAAGTACCAGAATTAATGTAGACTGATCTTTACTTTGTTACTCAGCAGTTATCATAAATAACAAGAGAAATGTTTACCGTTATTGTTCATTACTGAAGTAAAAAAAGAAAGTAAATAAATGTTTAAAGATACTAATAATGAGATAACACCATAATAAATTCACCTTAACTGTTGCTGCTCTTGGAGTACCATATATAAGTGCTAGTTCTCCAAAACTTCCAGCTTCACCAATGGTAGTTACCATCTGTCCATTAACAAACACCTAAAATATACATAAACATTTCTGTAACTACTAGTACATTAAAATATGGTTGTGTTTAGCAAAAATTCTGTTTGAAAACTATGTAAAATACTATCAAAATAAAAGATCTGGTTCATTTTGACTCAGAAATGTATCAACTTAGAGAAGTTTTAAATAAACTGGAAAATAAAAGTGTAGTATGCAAATACTATTTACATTACTCTCCTATAGTATGTTTTTATCAACAAAATTCTTGAATATTTTTAGATTATGTTAATTTAAAGTTTGAGGAACATGGTTTGTTTCTTGATCTGAGAGTAAGAACTCATTATGAAGTCCTGATGCTGTTTGTTCTGCCCTGCTATAGCCTGCTGATTGTGTATTGTCCAATCCTATTACTAGAGAGTTTATTTTTATCTTCCTCTTTTGTTGTTGTTACTAAACATAGTCTCATTTCATGTACTTAACCCATTTTAAAGACAGTTTAACTCTATTGTTTATTCCACATTTTAATAGTTTGCAATAGCCCTGCCTTTAGCACAATCAGCTAGTTTTCTTTCTGTTTCTCTAACAATAAGCGTTTTGCGTTAATTTCAACTTCACACTATCTGGTCTTTCAATTAAGCTGCTTGCTACACCTGTCCTTATCAGATCCATAAATCCCATTTTGTGGTAATCAAGTGCCTGTGAGCTATATGTAACCTTTGAATTATTACAACAGACAATGTCCTGTACATCATACTTCTTCCAGCTTTTCCTTACGAATACATTTTATTTTTAATATTGAATTTGATCAAAGAAACTTAAGAATGTTAATAAATGAGATATATATATATATATATTAAATGAGCCCTCACGCATAATACAATTCATAATGATTGATTCAAATTAGTGGCAAAATATATAATGCACTTATAATTCATATCAGTGCTACACATATTTTAGACAAAAGTGATAGAGAAGAATCCGAACAAGTATGATTTATGCTGAATCTATCACCATTACATTGAACAGTACCAGTAAAATAATTCTGCACTACATACATACATATATCATCAGTACACAAATATTCAAACAAGCATTAATATTAAGTAACATAAATCATCCATCAATCACAGCCCATTTGTTGAGACCATTAATACTAAAATTATAAGTTATTTTGATTTGAAATGGAATTTTTTTTATTTGTTTTGTTAGCTGTCATAAACAAATAATCAAACACTAAAAAAGTATTTATAATATTATCCAGAATTGAAAAAGACTGCATGTACTGTTTAGCTAATATTTTGATCTAGGAAATTAACAACCAGAAAGTTTGGCTAATAGTCTTTGTGTGTCTTTTTTCCACTAGTAATTCGGATATACAAATCAAAATTTTACAAAAGTATTGTTAAATATCTATAGATTAATCTGAAAACACTATTACCTATAACATCAGTATGTATCATCACAGTTTTACAAACATCTCTATTTTAAAGTTATGATCAAAAGACTTGCCACCAACATAATCAGTGCGTAACAAGTTCTGAAAAACAAGTTGAGTTTTAAACATTTTAGGATGTAAAGTGTTACAAGACAATCAGGTAACTACCTCAACTTCTCCTTGATCAATAACATAAAAGTTGTCCCCTTCATCTCCTTGGTGAATTATAACTTCTGAAGCATTGTGAACAACAGGGAACATGGCATCAAAGATATCACTAAAATAGCAGATGTATTAGTGATATATAAAAAAAAGTATCACCAAAAACATATAATTTGATTAAAGACTTTGGTTCACTTCAGAAATACAATACAATGTCAAATTTCCTTGAAAAGAATAATAAATACACACACACAATCAATGAAAACCTTTCAGAAATATTATTACATATACATAACCTCTAACAAGTTTTAAATCAGTGTTTATACTAGATATACCTTGTTTTTAATAAGTATTTCATGATACCAGTAGTTTCATGCACAGACAAGTGAAAAATTAAAGTTGTAAGCAAAATTAAATGTTAAATTTCATTTCAAATCAGAAGTATAAGTTCATAACAATTATATCATTACTAAAGTATGCCTGAAAACATCACACTGTTGATAAAGAAAACTGATCGAGTCAAGATTAGGAAACAATACTAGCAAAGACATTAAGTGCAGTCTATTCAGTATCCTGAAGTGGTCACCACAGACAAACAACTGAACAAAGAATCAACAAAAGCTGCAAAATTTTTATAAATTACAGATATTCCATTAGATCTAACAAATGTGATGGAAATCATATCTAATTCCAAAAGCTTCTACCACACTCTTCTTAACTAGTCTATACGGGATTTCAAAATCAGGTATGTGTGTGAAAACCTCTGGCTGTTAAGTCTCTTTGGTATATGTACAGTAGAGGAAACTGTAAAATCATTCCTATGTTGGTCAGTTTATGTTACATAAGAAAACTGAGCCAACTGATATAAATGCATATTATAATCTGCACTAAAAAAATATCTATACCACAAAAGAATGGTGCACTATTTGGTTTACCATAAATTTATATGTTTCTTGATGAAGATTTTAAAATAAAACAATAAAACTGTTTGTTTAGAAGATTATGTTACTTTAGGAAATTCAAAGTAATGTCTGGTGATAATTGGAATTGAAAATCTCGACTTTCAGTTATAAATTATATACATCAACTTTCTTTTGAAGAAACTTTCCTTATATTAATATAGGTTCTGCATTTCATGTAGACTTCCGTGAACTGTTATTGTATCATATGCGTTGATCATAGTTTCCTTTCACTTTTCATACTTTATTGCCACCTTTTCCACCAAAAGGATTTTATTTTTGCCACTTTCAACTTAGTTGAGCCACAAATTTTTAAGCCAGTTTTATATGTTGATACACTGTCATGCTTTAGTATGTATACATTTCTATAACTGGAAAAAAAAAACTCAAAATCTAATAGCTGTTTATATTCATTAATTCAAACTTTAGAGTTAACAAATTTTTCATTATATGAATGATTCTTGTATATATTTTCTGTCATCAGTAAAAACTGTGATACCAATATTCTGAATCTGTCACATCATGTCTTCACTTAAGTGCTACATGTTATATACATGTCTTTGTTTTTTAGGTGACCAGTTTTCAACCTATCCACTCCAATATGTAAGGTGTTGAGAGAACAGCTGCATATAAGATTGCAAAATTTAAATAAAAAGTAATACTCCTAACTATTTCAATAATTTTTTAACTCAAAAATATTTTAGAATAGACATTTTTCATTTCGCAACATTAATTTAGTGTCATATACAAAGAAAAAATTTTAAATATTCATTTCTGCACAGATGCAAAGAGGTTTGCTTGCAAAAAAAACCTATTTCTAAATTATTTATATATATTTTTTTACTCATCCAAAAAAAGGAGCTATTAAGTTTGCTACGAAACTATCACCCTTTGAGAATATATTATCCATTTCTTGATTTTCAAGTATTTCGTATGTCTTCTACTTAGTTTTTGTGCACACTTTGATTCCCACCCTTTTACGATATCAAATCAAGAGGCTTGATCATTCACTAATGAAATACAAAGAAAGTTTAAATATGACTGGATAGAATAAAGAAGTTTAATATATTGTCAAAGAGCCAGCAAGGTTTCACTAAGGGAAAGTTATGTTTAACAAATCTTCTGACATTCTTTGAGGATGTTACTGCAAGAATTATTGAAGGAAATACTGTGGATTTGGTTTACCTTGATTTTCAGAAAGCGCGTGATAAGGTGCCTCACAAAAGATTTGTTACAAAAATTAAATATGTGGGTGTGAGGGAAATGTTCTTAAATTGGATAGAAAATTGGCTGAAGAGTAGAAACAGAGAGTAGTAATAAATGGATCACAGTTACAAATGGTGTGCCTCAGGGCTGGGTCCTCTGCTGTTTGTGAATGATATTGACTCTGAAATGACTAACAAAATTTTGATGTTTGCAGATGACATTAAGATTTTTGGGGTAGCTAATTCTATCAAAGATACTGCAGACTTACAGGGATATTCAAATCATTTGATGC